TGATCTCTTCTAGACTATCTTCTCCCTTGTCTCTTCTCCTTTTTCTTTTCTTCCCTTTCAGCTTTTCCAAATCCCGCCTTTCTCTTGGTCGAATGATGTTCTCGCTGTTCGGGCTAGCTCGTTTGCTCCGCATCTAGTCCTTGCTTATTTCTTGTCTGGCATTTCGAAAAGTTTCTTGTCTCGCTTTTTAACGTAACCGCTTCGCTCTCCTCTTTTTTTCCTCCTTCATGTCCGTGTCCGTTCTCTCTCTCTCTCACCTTGTTTCTCTTTCCTTCTTATGCCCCCTCCACGCGGAAATGTTTATGATACGCCCTGATCGATGCCCCGGATATGCTTCTTTTCCAGGGCCGCTTCCTGCTCTCGGCATAATTCACTGTCACATATCCCCTTTGAAAAACTGTCCTAGCTTTTCTCGTGTGGGAAAATTTGAGAAATTCGGGGAGTGCGGGAGTTGAGTTCCTCCTTGTCATTTCTTCTTGTTCTCTTCTCACAGAAGTCCTTCCTTTCCCCCCATCCCCCCAAATCCAATATTCGTGTTTTGAAAGCCACATGAATTTAAAGAACGATGTGTGAAACGAGTTGGAAATGCCAGATAGCCGGCTTTGAAGCTGGATGTACCTTTCTTGATTGCCTCTGTTCCCTCCTATGCGCCAATGACTGTATCTATCCTTCTAGCCGCCGTATGAGTAAGATTGCCTAATCGACGAGTATTCTATTAAGCATTCTATTAAGGTCATCATGACTGTTGAACTACTAAGTATAAATAGATACTCCAGTACTCTGTAGACCAAAAGTACATTGATATCAAATGCAGCCCCGCGCTAGACCGCCTCTTAGATTTGACTAGTAGTAACGTATTGTAAGCATCCCAGCTCCAGTCCAATCTATCACCTACGCCTTGAATCTATCTGGGATCTACAGTACAGCGACGGAAACAGGAAGATGTCTTCGTGGAGCAGGTTCCGGTCCTCTCGGGGTTTCGTGGTTTCGGTCGTTGCAGTGGCGGTGTTTACGGTAAGCACTGCACTGAGCAAAGAAAGAAAGAAAGTGAACAGCTTGAATTGATCTTCTATAGGATGCATTCATATATGACATGGTTAGATGATTAGGGAGAGGGGGAAAAGATACTGAGTCGGGTCTGTCTAATACAGGGCAGATCATCCCTATTCTACCCATTACGCTACAGACTAGGATCCATGTTCCTGAAGAAGAGCGTGAGTTGGTAGCATAAGTCAGGGGATGTCAGTCATGGATTAACCATTTATAAACAGTCCAGATGTGGATGTCCATACTGCTTGCGGCGTTTGGGGGTGCACTCTTCGTGGGCTCTCGTAAGTTGCATCCCTGAAGCTGATAATATCAATATCAATATACTGATGAGCAGCGATCGTCGGGTACTACGCGGATAAAAGCCCCTCGCGGCAGTCGCCGTTCCTCGCCGGCCTGCTCACACTCGCCGGATCGACGGCTGTGTTCTGGTTCTCGGCCTCGCTTGCGATGTTGGTTCTTGCGCGGGTCTTGCAGGGTCTCTCGGCAGCGGTTGTGTGGACGGTGGGCATGGCCGTCGTTGTCGATACAGTCGGCCAGGACAGAGTCGGGGCTGCAATGGGGATTGTCTCGACTGCCATGACGGTGGGGACGGTCACTGGTCCTTTCCTGGGAGGGATCATGTGCGTTTTTTTTTTCTTATGAGATGGTTGACTGAAAGCTTTTTTTCTTAGAAAAAAACTGACTGATCAGAGTGACGAGAGCAGGATACCATGCTGTCCTTTTGATGGCGATCGCCTTGATTGTTTTGGACATCGTGCTCCGCCTGGCCATGATAGAGCCTCAGTCGGCCCCTCAACGCCCTGATGATGTCCAAGGTTTGCTGGATGTTTCTGATCAGGATGGCGTTGCCGGCTATGGGTCTCCTGGCGCATCGCAAGACCTGGAAAGAAACGACGAGTCCATTTCCCAGGAGAAACACGCGGCTTTGCCGGGTATCGTGCGCTTGATGTGTTCGAGTAGTCTGCTGATCGTGCTTGGCAGTGCAACCGTCAACGCCTGTTACTTTACAGCATTTGATACCGTAGGCCTTCATTGTGTCCTCAATTGATAAGTAAAACGTTAACCGCGACAGGTTCTTCCGTTATACGTGATGAAGATATTCGGGTGGGGGCCGCAAGGAATAGGATTCTGCTTCATCCCCCTCTTTGCGCCGTCATTCTTATCGCCGGTGATCGGTCTGTATCATGGTCTTTTTTTCCCCTGCTAGTTAAGCTGATTTTGTTAGGTCACGCCGTGGATCGTGTCGGCGCACGAACGGTTGCCTCTGTGGGATTCTTGCTCGACTTTCCCGCCTTCCTGCTGCTGCGATTCATCGTCAGGGACTCGACGACGGATAAAATCGTTCTCTACCTGCTCCTGCTTGTAGCCGGCTTCGCATCTACCCTGCAGATGGTCGCCCTCATGGTCGAAGTCAACCGCGTCGTGGAGCAAAGGCAGAAGGAGTGCCCTGGTATCTTCGGACAGAAAGGGGGCACCGCTCAGGGATACGGCCTCTTCAACGTCGCCTGGTCCGGCGGACAGGTCTTGGGGCCACTGCTGGCGGGGGTTCTCATCGACCACTTCGGATGGGGGACGATGGTCTGCACTTTTGGTGTCCTCAGCGCCATCACTGCTGCGCTCCTTGCCGGTGCGGATGGAAAGGTCATACGGCGTCTTTGGGGGGGTAGGGAGGATGACTGTGAGGATATATTACACACCACTGCGTAGTCAAAAGTCAACGATTAGTTACCTAGGTTAACGGATAGAACACTCGAAACCAATAGCACCATACTTCTCCACTCGCAAAACCACGTTTGATAGCCAAAAAGGAACACGGGGTTCATACCTCATACGGTTCTGATACCCCATTATTGCCGTGTTTGAAACGTCAATCGTCCAGGTAAGGGGGTCGAGTCCCCCGACCATGGGGGAGGGGATGACTTTCATCCCCAGTGGCAGGAAAGCAACAAAGGGCACCGCAAGGCAAACCCTCCTTCATTGAATCGAGTGAATCAAGGACGCCCAGCCTCAGCAAGCATCTCTGAATCTCCAAATCTCACATGTATAAAAGCCACGGCGGTTCCTGTGTCGTCTCCTGCGAGCCAAACGCCGGCGGCTGCACGTGTGGAGTTGGACGATCCCCTCCCAAACAAAGCACAAAGACCCGCACCTCGTCAGGAACAAGTCGCTGACCCTTGAACCCGGCCAGCGGCTCTGGAGGGTGAATTCGATTCTTTTTTTATCATCTCGTGGTGTCTTCAGGAGGCCAGCCGAGACTTTTTTTTTCTTGTTGTTACACAGGAGGGTCCATATTTATCTTTGTGGTCTTGTCCAGCTTGAACAACCCCTGGAACATTCCGAGCGACCTTAAACCTCTCCCCCCCCCACGCCTACAGTCTTATGTCTCGCTACCATGTCTGCGACTACAATAGCAACGACAACCACGACTCTCGCGTCAACCAAGCTCATCGGAGGGTTGCCCACGATGACAGGAAGTATGGCGATCACTGCAGGAAGCTACTGTTCGGCCTGTGGTCAGGATATGCCGCAACATTGCCATGATCAGGCCCAGGAGGCCCAACAGCAGATACAAGAGCTGGAATTTCAGATTACTCGCTTGACGACTCGTGCTATGAAGACAGGTAAGAGCTATTTTTTGTATGCTGATCAGGCGTTCGATTTTCAATTTTTCTGACAGTGTATACCGTACAGCGGAACAGCTAGCCAACTACGAGAACGAGATCGTCAAGCTGCGCCGACAAGCGAAAAACAACTCCTCCGTCTCGTCCACCGCGTCGTCCGCTCGGTCGAATAGTCTCGACAAATCCATCTCCCCGTCCTCGTCGGGGTCTCCCACTTCACAGCCCAGCGGTGGCCGTCTGTCCACCATTGCGTCTTTCCTTCCTTACCGCCGCTCCAGCGCCAATCCGCCGGCACCGTGTGTGCCCCCGCAGAACGCCTCGGCAGTGCTGGAGAGTACACTGGAGCTCCAAAACGCGCTCAACCGGGAGCAGAGCCTGCGCAAGGCGGCCGAGACGCAGCTGTCGCAGACGAATCTGGAGCTAGAAGAGCTGACGGCGTCGCTCTTCAGCCAGGCCAACGAGATGGTGGCGCAGGAGCGCAAAGCACGGGCGAAACTGGAGGAGCGAGTCGCCCTGCTGGAGCGCCGTGACGTCGAGAAGAGGAAGCGTCTCGATCGGCTCGAGAAGGCCCTGCAGAGAGTGGAACGTGTCCGAGCCTTGGTTGGATAGGACTCGGCCCTCTACTCCTTGACTTTAGGTTTTATTTTCTGCTTTGCTTTTTTTTTTTCTTTTCTTTTTTTCTCCGACGATTCATGCTATACCCCCGGTTATTTTCATGCTTTTTATCTTTTTTTCCCTGGAGTTTTTCTCATGGTTAGGCTCCTGATGGGAATCGTGTACGGTTTATGATTACATGATGGGCATACTCATGATGGATGGATGGCGTTTCGACTATTTATTCTTGGAATTGTCTACGGCGCATGGAGGTTACTTAATAATAATACAGACCTAATCACATCGTGTATCATCCTATTTACTACCAATCCAATCCATAGACTGGCCTCACTACTACCAATGCTTATAAACCCTTCTTCAATCCAAATCTAGTATAACCTCATCCTGGATGTCATACAGCATCTGGTTGTGGGCCAGTGCGGGACCGTTGCTGGTGGGGATCTGCAGATGGAGCCAGAGTGAGATGGCATATGCGATGCAGTTCTACCCTCTACCACATCCTTTCCATCTGATTTATCTGTGATTTGTGATTTGATATCAAATATGCCTCTTGGAGTCGCCATAGTTGGAAGCGGTATGACTTCTCTGTTGAGTCCTTGACTATCACAGCTTACACAGCCAGGAATCTTTGCCCGCGAGCAGCATCTGGTAAGCTGTGGAGCCACAGACATGCATACCTACTTATACAGACAGACAGCTCAACTGATTTGAATCATATAGCCTGCAGTCGAAGCGGCCAAAGACCTTCAGCTGAAAGCCATCTACTCGAGATCGTTGACCTCGGCGCAACAGCTCGCGGGGGAATCGACCGTAGCAGGTCTGGACCTGTACGCTGACGACTCCAGGCCAGGGAGAAGCTATGGCGATCTTCTTGCCCGCCAGGACATTTCTGCCGTCATCATATGGTGCGTGAATATCCTCTAGTGTCCTAGTTGAGCACCCCTAAGCGCTGCAGATGCTAATAAATAGACAAGTCTCCCCATCTTGGTGCAGCCGGAATTCATCAAACAAGCTCTCACGGCAGGGAAACACGTTCTGTCCGAGAAACCGATCGCAAAGGACCTTGCTACCGCACAAGAACTGGTACAGTGGTACCATGCGACGATAGACACACACTGCACCCTCTGGGCTGTGGCCGAGAACTACCGGTTCTTCACCAAGTTCCTCCTTGCCGCCGAGCAGGTGCAAAAGCTCGGCAGGGTCCGCAACTTTCGCGTCAACGAGCATACGCTCGTTCCGCCAGAATCAAAATACTACAGTACGCCTTGTTTTCATATTTTACTTTTGTGATACTGACAAATTCTAGACACCGCATGGCGCAAAAATCCTCAATATCAAGGCGGTTTCCTGCTCGACGGCGGCGTCCACACTGTTGCAGGGCTACGGTTGATCCTCGGTGCGAACGACCCGGTGGTCTCGCTCTCTGCTCATACGAGCCTACAGCAAGAACACCTTCCACCGGTTGATACCGTGGATGCCGTGATGAAGACCCGGTCTGGTGCCACGGGCGTGTTGTCCATGTCGTTCGGCTCGGCGTTCAAGGACTCCACGTTGGAGTTCTCCTGTGAAGGAGGGATCGTGACTCTCACCTTCGACGGAGTCTTCGTCAATGGAGTCGATCAGAATATTCCCTTTGACGGCAAGGGCGTTGTCACTGAAGTTGCTGCCTTTGCTGCCGCGATCGGTCGCGGGGAAGCCTTAGACCCGAGGCAGTCATTGGAAGAGGCGTTGGCGGATCTCGAAATCCTGGAGAAAATGCTAGTGAGCGGTGGTGAAAAGATGACAATCACAGGGTGATTAATTAATCAGTATCTTGGTAAATAATAATAGTTCTATCAGTTAAAAGCAGTCACCTTGTAGGCAGAGGACACACGGAGTACTCAGAAACGGCTGCATGACCAAATAGGAAATAGGGCTTGAGCTAGCCCTAAGTTGCGACGGATTCGCTTAGCGAGCCACTAGCGCAGGATCGTGCACTCTGAGCCCTCGGGCGGCCCCAAACGCTCAGCATTGAATTTTCGATAGCGAATTCGAACCGTCACGACAACTCTCGAACGCCCAGCCAGCGAGACCCGATAATACCGTCAAGGTGTGTTTTCCTGTGTCTAGATTCCGGCATCCCTTGGTCTTGATTCGATTTTTTTATCATAAATGATAATTGCTGACGGTTCAAGATGGTCCTCGCCAAGAAGCACGTCCCTATCGTGAAGAAGCGTACGTTCCCTCTCAATCTATGCCCTGCGTGAACGATGGAGAATTCGACATGAGAAAAAACGGGAAATCGGAGAGAAAAAACGAGAATCCATGAAAAAAAGGCCGAAGACGAGAGACAGTGACAGGGATACTGGGATACGACGACGAACGGGAAAAGATTCTGAAATGGGGTGGCTGACATCGTTCTGAGGATAGGCACGAACACCTTCTTCCGCCACCAGTCCGACCGCTTCAAGTGCGTGCCGGCATCATGGCGCAAGCCTAAGGGTATCGACAGCCGCGTCCGCCGTCGCTTCAAGGGCCAGATTGCTATGCCTTCGGTACGACATGACCCTGTCTATTGAATCTTTGCACAGAACGAATCGATGAATGGATATATATATATATATATATATATATATATGAATACTGGACTAGGCTGATTGATGAACAGATCGGTTATGGCAGCAACAAGAAGACCCGCCACATGATGCCCTCCGGCCACAAGGCCTTCCTCGTCCACAACCCCAAGGACGTTGAGCTCCTGCTCATGCACAACCGCACCTACGCTGCCGAGTACGTCTTGCAGAATCGGGAGTTGTATATATAATGTAAATGCTAATTGCTTAGGATCGCCCACGCCGTCTCCTCCCGCAAGCGCGTCGAGATCCTCGCCAAGGCCAAGGCCCTCGGCGTCAAGGTCACCAACCCCAAGGGCCGCGTCACCACCGAGGCTTAAATGGACGCAATAATGACGGACGGGGTTTTCCTTTTTCTTCTTCCTGTGGTAGACAGTGCTGTCGGTGTGTGGAGATCTCTCGTGGCGATAACGAATTCCGGAATTGTGCTTGGCTTTTGGTAAATTCCAGCGCGGGACAAATAAAAGAAAAATTTCATTCTTCAATACCTTCCATCTCTGAATGCGTCGAGAGTACGCTTGAAAGACGTAGATTGCATGGAGCAAATCGACAAGAATTGGATTTTCGCAGTGCTTGCAAGTAATATGTACTCTATGAAATTGATGCACTCTATGCAATTGATGCACTCTATGTAATCTATGCACTCTATCTATGAATTTAAATAGCTCCCGCCGCTTCTTGTCCCTCAGGCGCAATACTTCCATCAGCATAGATCCGATCCGCCGAGATATCGACCATCCCAAACCCTCTAACCAGGGCAGGCACGGGATTCCTCTTCTTGGGTCTGTCTCCCTCATCATCACTCCCAAGTTCTTCGGGAATCTCCCCGCCACCAATGACGATCTCTTCGTCTTCGGGGACGGGGACCCATTCCGGGGCCTCACGCAGACCATCCATGCCCGGTGGGGGTAGAGCCCACTCCGGGATCTGGCTTCGGTAGACCCAGCCGCCGTTGAGGTCCGAATATGCGAGCGCATGCAGGTAGATGCCCAGCTCGTGCGGGGCCGGGTCGGTGTAGAGCGGCGTGTCGCAGATCTCGCAGACCAGGCCGGAGAGTTTCTCGCCCTTGCGCTTCTCGTACTCTGCCGTGGCGGCCTCGTGCTCGCGCGTAACCAGCTCCTCGACCACGGCCGGGTCGGTGCCCGGCGGCACCGCCGGGGCGGCAGTCAGGTGCGTGCGGTAGGAGACTGGTTCCGGCGCCTGGGCGACCTCGGACTTGCCCACCTCGTTGAGGCGGTCGATGATTTCCGAGTCCCGCTCGGCGCTGGTGTCGAGTTTGCCCAGGTCGGGCCCAAACACCCGGCGGTTCGAGTAGATCGGGTCGTTGGAGATCGGGTGGCCGAGGAACTGGAGATGCACGCGGATCTGATGCGTACGGCCCGTCAGCGGCAGGCAGTGCACGATGCTGTACCCTTCGCTCTCGGTTGTCAGGGGACCCGCTTCGCCGTCCGTCGCCGCCGTCGGCGGGTAGTAGGCGACTCGGCGGAATTTGGTCTTTGCATCCTTGCCCGTGGCGCGCACGCGGTTCAGCCCCAGCTTGGGACTCACCGATAGGATGGGCTGGTCACACACGATCACGCCGTCGGGGAATTTGCCTTTGACCCGCGCAACGTATTCCTTCTGTAGAGTGCGCTGCTTGAGCTGGCCGGCCATCTGGTCCGCCGCCCGCGGGGTCTTGCCGATGAACATGACCCCAGACGTCAGCCGATCCAGCCGGTTGCACGGCCGTGGTTGCCACGCATGATTGCGTTCGGCCTTGAGGATCTCCACGATCGACTGGTAGTGATATCGGCCCGCGGCGTGGACAGGCACCCCCGCAGGCTTGTCGATCACAAGCAGGTTGTCATCTTCATAGATCACTCCAATCGGTCGGGCGCTCACTGGGGGTTCGTGTCGGTGCAGCGTGTGTGAGATGACATCGCCGTTCTTGACGGTCGTCGTCGGGGAAGCCTGCTTGCCGTTGACTGTTACGCGGCCCGTTTCCAGCGCTTCTTTCTGAAATCAATCCTCTTGCATCAGCCCCTAGTATACTCATGGCAACAGAAAGAAAAAAAAAAGATCACCCACATAATATTCTGGCGGCCGATCTCTAAACTCCGTGGTGAAAATCTCCACCAGCTGCCGACCCCGCCACCGCTCTTTGCAGTTGGTATTGTAGGTAAAGTGGTACGGTTTGATTCTGCGCAGGCCTCCCTCGAAATAATACGCCGCTGCAGGCGCACAAGGCGTCACAAGAACATCTGGCAACGGCTCAGCGGGCTTCGGAGGCTCGCGAGGAGGAGTGGTGTCGATAGGGCCGACCAACGACATGCCGGGCGAAGAAAAGTATTTGCCTCGCCGCAGCAAGTAGGCAGTCACACGCGGAGAGGGCGCCAGGAAGGTGGAGTATCCAGGGACTTGGTCTCGGACTCGAGGTTTAAGAACGCAGGTTGTGTCAAGAGATCTGGAAATATTCGCGAAACGGCGGAAATTTTTGTTCACAAATTATGGAGGGGGGAAAGTCTAGAACCATCACAATATATACTGGTGCATCAAGCACTATCAATGCGAATTAGATTCCTAAATTCAAGTCAGACTTGAGATATTACTCGAATAACTAAGTACATACAGAAACATTATTATTGAAACTGTCGCTGGGGGTTTTCTTGAGTGACTTCTATCAAGACCTGCTTTCTACCAATCAAAACACCAGTTTCCCTGCATAAAACACGAGCTTATGTAATCCGCATAACTGGCCCAATGGGGTAGTCTCGTGTGAACCTCGGCTTGGGACAACCGCAGATGAATCCTCTTGCAGGGCCGAATTCTTTCTCTAATCTGTGTTACCGATGGTTACATGAGCTTTAACTACGACTAAGCTGTGGCTACTCTATAAGACAATCCCAGCTTTGGTTCGACCAGTTCACCGTATTACCTACCTGTGGAGCGGGGATATGGCTTCAACGGATCTCGCAGCCAAACGGCGCCGCACGCGAAAGGATTACCCTTTTCATCTTGAATACCGTACAAGATGGTCAGTTCTTGCCTTGGTAGAATAGTTGATGGGTAATGCTGATTGCTCGATGAGAATAGGTTCGACAATGACATGTACGCCCACCTTAATAACACTGTTTATGCCATGCTCTTCGACTCGATCATCAACAGCTACCTGATCAAGTATTGCGGCATGGATCCGTTTAGCACGAACAACAGGGCTAGTCGCGGGAGTCCTACACCGTCATCTACTACGCCACTATCCCAGCAGGTGGGAATCCTGGTCTCCTCGTACTGTGACTATTTTGCATCTGTTTCGTTTCCAGACGTGCTTGATCTGGGATTACGAGTGGTCCGGCTAGGGTCGTCAAGCGTGACGTATGAAGTTGGCGTGTTTCGCGAGGGGGAGGAGGAGGTCAAGGTTGTAGGCGGGTATACACATGTGTTCTGTGCGAGGGAGACGATGAAGCCGGCCAAGGAAGGTATGGAGGAGGCAGTACGGAGGGCACTGGAGAGGTTGATTGTTCGAGATATCGCTAGATTATAGCCGGTATCATTTCTGGACTTTCAATCCTTAGGTATGTTCAGTATGTCACTATTCACCTACCTACCTACCTGCCTGCCAACATATGGTACCTGGTATTGCTTGCTTGCTGCTCATATAGCCAATGATGTCAGCTCACTTCAACAAGGCCTGCTGGCCCAATGGTAAGGCGCTTGACTACGGATCAAGAGATTGCAGGTTCGAATCCTGCGTAGGTCATTTCTTTTTGCCTCTTCTCTCTTTTTTTTTTATAGTGGAGTCTACTGAGTTTTTTTTTCTTGTCATAGTGCTAGAAGCGGCCCACATGGATCGAGGAAAAGCTCCGCTTTTGCCCTACAACTTGCCTGCCATATGGCATAGTGAGTAGCTGGCACATACAAAGTGCGATTCTACTGCAAGATAATACAGAAGCGATTCGCTGATGTAACCTCTCATTAAAGAAGTGTCACTCTAATCTTAATATGAGAAGCCTTGATCTTCTTGGAATCAACTCCTAGGATCAGAATCAGATAACCCTTAAAGCAAGAACGGTCATCATAGGCTCTGATAGCGCAATGGTAGCGCGTGAGGCTTCGGTCCTCAAGGTTGCGGGTTCAAATCCCGTTCAGAGTTCTTCTTTTTTTTTCTTCTCTTTTTACTCTCTTTTTCCCTTCTCTTCAGCCAGCTACGTTAATTCTCCTCGACTCTTTATCAAATAATAATTTATTTCTACTGTCTGCATCTACTTTTTGTTCTCCGATAAATGTTGCTCTGATTAAGTGGGACGTGATTTGACCGACTGGTCACTGAATGCCTCCCCTATATCTACAAGTTACCTCGAAGCAACCCAGTCATTTATTTTTTACCCCTAAATTCTGCTTAGAAGTGAAGTCAGTAATGATATGGTAGTTACTGAATATATGTGTCCTGGGTATAGTTATCGAGGGAATTTCCACTCACCTAACTCCCTACACAACGTAGGTGGGTGAGTATCGTCAGGACATTATCTATTTATTCTGTTCCACCTACTACCAAGTTTCCAGACACCGGGGTGTTTTTCTTAAGCCAAATCGCGTGCCTGTCGCTCCTTACTGCCTCTATCCTACAAACCATGACTGCGACTTTCCTCCCTGCTGCTTGATTCTTACGCATAAGTCGCCGAACTGAGATATATTCATCTGGGAGCCTATGCGTGGGCATGGTGCTATAACCTGACGATCCTCTTGAGCCTTGAAATTCACCTCTCAAGACACTTGTTATTGCCTTGGCCATCGGTTGGTCGGCTGCCACCCAGCAACCGGAGAAGCGATATGCGATTATTGACAATGACTGGGGCTCCAAACGGCTTCATTCCCTTCCTACTTGCCCTTGACAGTGGTATGGAGGTGCTGGTCCTGACTTCCAGCGAGTGGTTGTAGTGTGTAGCCCCTCTAAGATCCCCTCTGAGCATCACTGACACAGCCTTTCTACTACTGCAGACACATGTAACATCTGGCAACGGGAGTGTGCATACCACGCCGTGGCGACGCCTGAAAGCGGGAACCTGTCATGTATACCTGTGTACGATGGAGCCATTTGGCCCCTCATCAACACCAACCAACGCCTCCGGTCATGGGAGGCTGTCCACGACGTGCTGGCGTGGCAGGAAGACCTTGCCGAGGAGAACAGCACGAACAAAGCTCTAGGAAACAACCCAACATCCCGGGACCCAGACCGACTGGTTGTTGCGGTTTTTGTCAAGTGATTCCCCAGGGGAAGGCCCAGCACGTCGACCAGTGCGGCTAATATCAACTCAGAAGTTTGTCTAACCCACAAGAGAAAGGCACCAATATATATTAGTCAACGCATCTAGATCAATCTTATGGCCGATCCAGAGGCATCGAAGATTGTACTTAACGCCGACTTCCCTGAGATTACTGTTCCAGGAAACATGGCCAACCAGGTGATGGCTACGAGGGCTTTCGTCGACGAGGTCTACACGGTCAAAAATCCGTTTACTGGGCTCGCCAACAAGTATTACGATGTCGACTTTCCGTTCCGGGACGACCCGGCAGCCGCCTGGTGGTGAACAGGTCCATTGCGACCAATTTAGCCATAGGGTTGTCTCGGAAGACTTGAAATACTGGTTACAGAGCTGACCAGAAGAATAGCATACTCCGATGTTGATAATTCGCATGGCAGCCCTAGCTACGGGAACCTCCATGTCTACTGAAGCCTCCTGGAGTACGGAATGCTACATATGTGACTAGGATTGATGGCAAGGCAATGAGGGACATGATGAAGCATGCTCTTCAGGATCTCTCTACCTGTTCACGGTGATGTTACAGTGGGAGGGATTCATAAGATTTATAAACATATATTGTGGTCTAACTTGGCATTTACCAGAGAAATATTCTAGAAGAAATAGACCCCGGTTCAAGAATTGATCTGCTTGTACTGCTCACATGTACTATATCCCAATAATTACAGGCACGGAATTCTTGTGCCTACCTTGCATAATGAGGGGTACAGGAGAGTCTTCTTTTTCAACCCCCTACGTCCACACCTGGTACAAAATACTACTGTACCATCAAAAGCTCCATATAGCACCTTCTAGATGTCCATCAGGTATGATTCATGAAATATGAACTCACCTGACCTCCCCTCGAAGCCGTTCAGCTGCTTCCAAGGGGAAGTGCTTGCTTCGCCTTGCAGCGAACGTCCGCCTTGCCGACGATCATCTCCAATAACCTTCTGTCCCCGCCTGATATTGACATCTGCAGCCAAGTCAATTGATCCTGCAAAGCCCTCATTCTAGACCAATTGATCATGTGAATTCTGGTATCACACTCCGGGGCTGTTTCTTGGGGGGAGGGGGCGTTGCAGCCGAAAAAAAGAAACACAACCGTTTCAAACTATAACCTGTCTTGTTTTTAAGTCTAAGATTGTATGGTCTTATAGAATAGACATTAGACAGTGAGAGAATCGGCGATGACACCATCAAGTGTCTTGAGCGGGGTCCCAAATGGGTTAGTTATAGTTAGTCACCAGATAAACAACCTGGGTACATGAGTTGGTATAAATGTATCACTGTCTAGGAAGGTACCCGAGTTTAGGTGCAGGTATTAACCAGTACTCCGTACAGAAGGTACCTATACCTAGTTATACTAGGTACCTACGGAGTAACGTTTCCATGGCGGACCCTCGAGTCCTGAACATGGGCCAGTTCACCCCGACAACCCATTCAACCATCTGCCCAGCCCTCGAAGCATCAGCCAACAGACTCTCCGCCCCCTTTGCCGCATGCATTATTGGCGCCTCAGGCGTGATTGGGGCCGGCGTCGCCCGTGCTTACGCCCGTGCAGGCTGTACCGATCTGATTCTCGCTGCTCGAGACGTGGAGGCGCTGGCCTCAGTATCGTCGTCAATCCTCTCCTTATCTCATACAGACTCTGATCCTCCTCCTCCTCCTCCTCCCCGGATTCACCTCCGCCACTGCGATATTGCCGATCACGACTCTGTCCGCGCCCTAGCCGAGTTTGCAGCCTCAAAGATTGTGCCGCACCTCGATGCCGTCGTTCTGGTCAGTGGCATCTCCGGCCCCGTCCAGCTGCGCATCACCGACGGCTCCCCGGCTGACGGGGAGTGGGCGCGTGTGTTTGCCACAAATACTCTAGGAACATACCATGTCGCCCACTACTTTGTGCCGTTGCTGCTGGCGTCTCCCACCAAGGCCTTCGTAGTGGTCGGGTCCTTGGCGGCCTGTATCACTCGCGGAATGATTGCCAATACGAAATACTGCGTCAGTAAGATGGCCCAGGCCCGGATCGTGGAATGTCTCGCCCAGCAGTTCAGCGAGGAAGGCTTGTTGGCGCTGGCTGTTCACCCAGGGGCAGTCGAGAGTAAAAATGCGTTGGAAACCGCGCCCAAGGAGTTCCTCCAGTGTTCGTTTCCCTTTTGATATCTATCTTTACTCTCGAGTAAAACGGTTCCACTGACATTCCAGACCTCACCGATGACGCAGAGCTCTGTGGCGCATTCTGCGTCTGGGTGACCAGGGATCCCCGCCGGTTGAACTGGTTGAACGGCCGACTGGTGAGTGCCAAGTGGGATCCAGACGAGCTGCTCGCCAAGAAAGAAGATATCATCCAGGGGGATCTATTGAAGTTCGAGGCCAAGACGACCGTCGATAGAGAGACTTAAATTGATGACAAGGAGGATGATTCCTACTAGTTAGTTAGCTAGGTTGGGCACCTTGTTATGCGTATACGGGGTCTAATAGATCCACCATGCTGCAAGATAACCGCCATAGACCATATTTCAACTTGACAAATAAGTGATACCTATTATTGCTGATAGCCGCATACCAAGACCGTCATCCCTAAGTAGTACATTGTACAAAGATGGATGCCAAGTAGGTATCTATCTACTGAACAGGAAATACTACTCCGTAGATACTACCCTGTAAATACTACTACCCACTCTCTCAAATGCAAAGTTTGACCGCTCCGCCAGTGAAATAGACAGGTCTAGAAGGTGATAGGCCTGCAGAAGGGCAAACTGGAACAGCGTCCTCCGATAATGCAGGATGAGCCACCACTAATGCAGTGCGCATGCAGTGCGTTGCTTTTTCCAGGGACGAGGTGCAGCAGTAAGGATCTACTCCGTATCAGTGTCTTTATTTATGGTGACACAGTCGATAGTCATGATAATCATCCTCGACGGTCAATAGTCAATAGTTGATAGTCGATAGTCGTGAATATGGTGATAGTTACTTCCATGTAACCGTGTATGCAGTACCTATATTCATGTAGTATTGTGGTTCTCTTGTAGAATTTCTAATTCTCTATTCTCATCAAATGTCATGCCTAATATGTCTAATTCTATACACTTTTGATTTTTATTAGATATCCGAGCGCCATCATTAAGTCCTTGCTGAAAAAAAGAAAAAAAAAAAAACAACCCAGTCATCAGTGGTTATTAACCCAGGAAATGGAAAAGGAAACAAAAACTGCAGAAAAAGAGAACCCGTATCAACCGCTAAACGTTGGAACCAGGTATCGATCGATGTGTGTGGAATGGATCGTCACACACTTCAGGCAGAAGAATAACTTTTTGTCGTTTGTCAAGTCGTGTCATTAATGATTTCCCGCTTTCTCTGTTAAGAAAGGGGGGGAGGGGGATTCGATTCGAAATGTGAAGGAAAACCATGCTGTCGGTCTAGTTTAATTTCTCCGGAATGATACTGCTGCACCGGGAGACGTTGGCCGAGCTGGTGGTCGAGGTCATCCGGGTCATGGTTTTGGTGTCGGAGTCAAAGGACCACTTCTGGTAGGGGCCTGGGATAAACCTGCCCCTGGCGTCCCATCCGGCCACGTAGGTGTATCCGTCATCCAGGAGGAAGAACATGAACCGCTCTGGCGGCACCCCTTCGCGGTGAGTGACGGTGTGCCAAAGACACCTCTCCTCCATCTCGTAGTCAAACAGGTAGCGGTGGAGAATGCGGCAGTATACCAGAGAGACGGGCGTCTTCTCGTCACTGTCGCTGTCGTCACGGCGGATTAACTGCCACCCGTGGCCTGGCGTGTACTTGTAGGTTCCAGGAACGGGGCTGTCCCAGTGTTCCTCCTTGTGGAGCGAACCATCGATGCGCTCGCCACGCTGGAACCAGTAGAGTGGACAGAATACTGTCCGAAGGCAGAGAAACAGATTGGGTGCCATGATGTCAAGTCAAGCTGTAGCAGAGCTCTTGGAAGAGGGATAAGAAAAGAGAAGAGGACGCTTAATAAACAATGATCAAAGAAGGAAGAAGAGCAAGGAAAAAAACTTTTGGTACAGCTCGAGGGGAGAGAGCTTGGGGTTATAAGTCGACGTCCATCGTGTTAGGTCGGGATATGCACAGATGAAAGGAACGAGTGAGTGACACTGGACACCGTAGGCGTTAGAAAAGGGGTGTCGAGAGATGGTGATGATTTGGCTGATTCCAAATGGAGCCAAACAGGCGTCGTTCTACCAAGAATTGGCGACCAAGACGGTATTCTGTATGATGCGGTGAAACAGCGTCCAGCAACAAAGATTCAGGCCCACGATCTGTGACACAGCGTCGATCACCGGAGATGAAGTGTGCCTCACTGCCTCTCAATGAAATCGGATATGTACTAATGTAGGTCTGGAGAGGAAAGGCGCAAGGAGTCGACGGAACGACAGATGGCGCAAGTAGACCCTCTTATGGTTGTCGTTGAAGGAGGCGCATGCTGCAACGCTCACGTCTGACTGGACCGGTCGAGGGAAAGCATCACCAGGTGACAGAGAAGCAACGAAAGCGATGGTGGAACAGGAAGCGAGACCAGGTCCTGAGCCCTGTGTAGGCGGTCTGCGTGTTCCCACTGCTTGGTATCCACAGTCAGCGTCGCGTTGCCATACTACAAATAATAATAACACGAAAAATTTTCTGTGCTAAACGGGAGGGACCAGGGGGGGTCTGGACTCACTCAGCTGTTTGGGTCGGTGGGCTCCACCTCCCGGAGGATCTTGCAGTGCTCAAGTGTCCACTTCTGTAGGGTGTGAAGTTAACCAGGTACCTCTCCGTACCTTAACAAGAGGCGAGAGTCACCCTAATTAAAACAGTATCCATACCATCGGACCAAGGTTCTTTACATAGCCAGTACGGCGGGTGCGAGTACCTCGCCAGGGCTGTCTGTGACGGTATGGATTCAGTTTTCTTTCCTTGTCTCTCTTCCCCCCCCCCGGTCGATTTCTTGTCCCGACTCCTCCCGGTGGGTGTGCCCACGACCCGAGGTCATATCGGGGTTTGATATTGGATTTCATTATTAGGTTTAAAGGGTTTTCTCCATAGCTAGCTAGCTAGCCATCAGAAGTTGGAACATAACAACTATAGTTCAGCTAATCAGCCACGTTTGCTTCTCGCTTACTTCGTAATGTACTCACGACATGTTGTTGGTCGTCTCAGCGCCCAGGAGCCAGGATCACTAACCCAACCCCCCCGGTCGATCGGTCCGTCCCATGTACGTTGACGTCTTAAAAAGAGCATGCCCGTCTGGAGAGTGGAGAGTTATCCCCCGTAACAGACGCAATTATGAAGCATGATTACGGAGTAGCTCGTGGAGTTGCTGTCGACGGCCGAATTGGGGGGTTCTGGGGGTGTCTGACCTCGTCGATATCCCGTCTACTCCGTAATCAGCATCGATCAGTGCTTCGGGCAGATGGATGATTGACTCACAGGGAGGAAATGACACATATCCTGATGAAGTATTCCGTCACCCGGCCGAGTTGGAGGGGGGTTGAGGGGCGTTGAGGGCTGAGGTGGCTGAGCAGAAGATCTGACCGTCGGCCTTCAGGTCGAAGTCTTGCCCCAACGGTCACCTGATCGCCCCCCATGGGATTCTCCCACCTCCCTCGAACCTCTCTCTACGCGGGCAGTGGTTGCTCTACGGGAGATGACGATGTGTGAGCGGATAAGAATACCCCTGCTTGGTATTATTCATCTATAGGCCGAGGCTATAGGTATTTGGTCACGAGCTAGGATGATGACGAGGGCAGCGTGAATGATGTCAAAGAAGACCAGGTAAGAAATTGATTGCACAACAACATACTACATATGGTATCCCCAAAGATAACAAGTTTAACAAGGTTCTGGGCTAATGCAACGGGCTATTTCCATAGGCAATCAGTGGTTGTGTCGTGGCTCGTCATATGTCTGAGCTAGTCGTTGATACTTGACGGCCTCTCGCAGAACCATTCCTTCGCTCAGCTGAGCCGTTTCCTTGCGGAAAATCTCCTGCCACGGTGTCTGGCTGGCGGGCATCGAATAGCCTCCCCTGGCATGAAGTTCTTCTCTCCGACGTCGGATTTCTTCCTCTGGAACGAGGATATCGACCCGTCGCTTGATCAGATCCACACGGATCATGTCTCCGTCCTGTAAGATAGCTAGATTGCCACCCGCTGCAGCTTCTGGACTGGCGTTCAGAATAGAGGGTGAGCCAGAGGTGCCGGACTGCCTGCCGTCACCGATACACGGCAGAGAATCGACTCCCTGTCGCAGGAGTCGCCCAGGCGGATGCATGTTGACCACCTCCGCGGCGCCAGGATACCCAAGTGGACCAGCCCCGCGCATAATCAGGATACTTGTGTCAGTAATCGGGGTGGAAGGGTCCTCCAAACGGTGGTGGTAGTCTTCTGGTCCATCGAAGACAATTACCTTCCCTTCAAACGCATTGGGGTCTTTGGGGTTCGACAAGAACTTCTCTCTGAATTGAGATGAGATCACGCAGGTCTTCATGATGGCAGAATCGAATAAGCTGCCTTGGAGGTGCAAAAATCCGGCATCGTCCAAGATCGGCTCCTTAAACGCTCGGATCATTCGGCGGTCCCAAGAGTGCTGGCCGCGAACATTCTCACCCATCGTCCGGCCATTGCATGTCAGAACGCCCTCATTGAGCTTGCCAGCATCCAGTAGTTCTGCCATGATGGCAGGGAGGCCGCCTGCACGGTAATATTCCTCCCCGAGAAGCTCCCCCGCGGGTTGCATGTTCAGAAGGAGTGGAATATGAAAGCCAAACTGGTCCCAATCGTCCATGGATAGACTCACTCCCATGTGCTTCGCAACGGCATTGAGGTGGATCGGCGCATTGGTACTGCCTCCTATCGCAGTATTGGTCACGATTGCATTCTCGAACGCTTGCCGTGTCATGATATCGCTGGGTTTTCGGTCCGAATGCACCATTTCAACTATCTGCACGCCTGTCTCATAGGCGCACTGTGCTCTCTCCCTATAGGGCGCAGGGATGGCTGCAGATCCTGGGAGAGCCATACCAAGCGCTTCCGCCAGCGCGTTCATGGTGGATGCGGTCCCCATGGTGTTGCAGTGGCCTACTGATGGCGCACTAGTTTCAACCGTAAGATGAGAGATGTGCCCACGCAACTCAAAAAAAAGGGATGCTCAAGAAAAACTTACCCTTTGGAAACATAATCGATAAACTCTTCTCGGTTGATCTCACCTGCGGCATACATCTCTCTCGCTTTCCAGAGAACCATGCCAGACCCTGCCAGTTTATCCTTGACATAGCCGTTCATCATCGGACCAACGTTGAGACAAATAGCAGGGATGTTCTATGGTTATTAGAGACAGGGAAAAAAAAAGACAAGTAACTCTTTTCATCCCAGGATGCAGAACACGTACCACAGTAGCGGCCGCCATGAGGTATGCGGGTGTCGTCTTGTCACAACCGGTCAGAAGAACGACGCCATCCAGAGGATACCCAAAGAGAATCTCCACCAAGCCCAGGTACGCAAAGTTACGGTCCAGACATGCCGTTGGCCGTCTCGTGCTCTCCTGGATCGGGTGAGTGGGGAATTCAAAAGCAATGCCTCCGGCAGATCGAATGCCCTCTCGAACTCGTTTCGCCAGTTCCAAGTGATAACGGTTGCAAGGTGCCAGGTCTGAGCCTGACTGCGCGATTCCGATGATAGGTTTTCCGGACATGAGCTCCTCCCTGGTGACTCCATAGTTGAGGTACCGCTCGACGTACAGCGCGGTCATTAGCGGGTTGGACTCGCTATTGAACCAGTTGGCGGATCGCAGCTTGCGAACCCCCGCTGCTCCATTGGAGTCTTCCTTGGAAACGCCGATTTTCATCGACGCCAGGTTCTTCTCCAGCTCCTGCGTACGTTTCCGCAAGGCCAGGAGTTCGGCCTCGCAGTCTTCAATGTTCACCGGCGCACGAGCACCGCCCCCGTCGCAGGAACAGCCATCGCACGACTGCTGAGTGCCACACGCCATGATTCACCTTTTGATCTTGCTTGATGATTGCAAACCCGATCACAATGCCTTGTTGACGTGCCTTCGGATATAGTCCCCGGGATGCCGATCAGTGTCGGATATGAGGTAGGAAGAAACAAGATTTGACCAAACAAAAAAAAAAAAAAGGAAACGCAAGGCCCTTATATAAACCTATGAGGCGGCAGGCAGCAAGTTCTCAGTCTGAAAGAAATCCTCACCAGAACAAACACTGCCCTTTTCTTCTTTACTTCGTTGCTGCATACGGGGTTTATTTAAACAGAAGCAGGGTCCCGTCGGCATATGAAGTGGGGTGACCAGCTCTGACGGAGATGCTCCGATCCGATGAGGCCGCGGAATCTGAAATGCTGGATTTCGCCTCTTCTCATTGGTTTGAGGCGGTCCTCGGGCCGATCCAGCCTTATAGAGTTTTCATTCAGCCTCATCTATACAGAAGCATATGTATGAAGTATATTTGATAGGTCTGGATATACTTTATACTCTGTACTCTGCACCTCTGGGCTGCGAGGCCATGCATCATAACACATGTATAGACTATCAAAATCTAGCTATCAGTGTTGCTGAAGCAGAGAAAACAAGTAAGTACAGTTCTTAAGAAATAGCTAAGATATAGTTACTACGTACAGCTTCTGCTATTGATTGATAGATACTTTTAGGTATAATAGGCTGTTTAACATACTTGATTCCTCATTGGTTAGTTTGTTAAAACGGTCTACTAGAGATGTACAGAAGTAGTATAACCACATATAAGTGCTCAAGACAGCTTCATCAGAAGGATGACGTCTTCATTTTACAAGAATCGATTAGAATACCTGTTCTAGAGAGCCCTACTGCTCCTGAGTAGCTCTACTAGGGCATAATACCGTTAATGATGGTTAGACCCAACCACAGCCAACTGTAATGGAGCTATCATTTTATTCTGAATGAATATGAAGTGGATATACAAGGATAAAAGCCTCGGCATTGCTATCTACTGCTGTACTGTTCATAAGGGGGGAAGGGGGGTCATCTATCTGTCTTGTTCATCACGCTTTTCAACGTCAACCAAGAAGCGACGAAACGCGGAGGAAACGGACGCCTGAAACGCCGATGATGCCACGAAATGAATGTCAATCAGAGCCTGACCCAAGAGAAAGTAGGAGGAGGAGGGTCTCATTCAGTACTGTATCAAGGGACACATCTACTGAGGCGCGCACTGCGCGGTCTGCTCTTCGTCATCCTCGTCAACCCAGCCGGATCCGCCGCGAGGATCCCCGCCGCCAAAGTCTTCGAGGTCGCCGTTGGGATCGTATTCTACCTCATCAATGGTCTCGGCTTCGATGAGAGGGTCTGGCTTGGGCAAGATCTCCTTGAGCTTCTCCAGCGTCGCAGCGCTGGGCGTCCATTTCTCGCCAGGGAACTTGACGTTGACGACCAAGTAGAGATCGCCGCGACTGTCGCTCCGTTTGATCGGCATACCCTCACCAGGGATCTTGAGCACCTGCCCCGGAGACAGGACCTCGCCCTTGACCTTGGGATGGGTGATTTCAATACCTCGACCATCCAGGTGCTTGATGACCACCCGAGTGAACCCGGTAAGCGCTTCTGCCAGCGTCACGTCAATGGTGGCAGTGAGATCGGCCCCGGCTCGTTGGAAAACAGGGTGGTCCGTTTCGACAAGGTGGAACACAATGTCGCCAGGCTCCTGGTCGGGGACTTGATCCGCCTCGCCTTCAAGAACAATCTTTTCTCCCTCACTGAAAATTGTTAAGAGAGGTAAATAACCACAGGGCTTTCTTTTGAGAAATCTTACCTGGCACCGCGGGGAATGTAAATCTCCAGCATCTTCTTTTCTTCGGTCGTTTTGTTTCCCTTGCATTTCTTACACTTGTCCTTCGGGCTGAAAAATGTGCCTTGTCCGTTGCAAACAGTACAGGCAGCGGTGGACTGTGTAAGGAACTGTCCCACGCGGGTGAGAACTTCCTTGTATCCTAGACCGGTTTATCAGTCACAGAGCCTTGTCTAATACGGGGAAACGGGCCCCTCTCAAGAACGACATACCCTGTCCTTCACAAGCAGAGCAGGTCTTGGGCGTCGCCTTCTCCTTGCCACCTCTGCCCTTACACAGGCTGCAGATCACGTTCTTCTTGCTGGAGAACTTGACCGTCTTTCCCTTGTAGAGATCCTCTAAGCTGACCTCGTACTTCTGCTCTTCATTCGGACTCTTGCGAGGTTTGTTGGGCCGTGGTCCGCCGCGTCCTGGCATACCCCCGCCCATCCCCGGCATCCCACCCATTCCGCCCATTCCGCCCATGCCAAACATCTGCTGCAAGATATCGTCCAGGTCTGGTCCGTCTCCCATGCCAGGCATGCCGCCATTGAAGGCGGCCATGCCGTGTGTGTCATACAGGTGCCGCTTGTCGTCATCGTAGAGGATATCGTACGCTTCCTGGACCGCTTTGAACTTCACCTCCGCTGTTTCTCTCTCCTCCTCTGGGAACTTGTCCGGGTGACTCGACAGTGCTGCCTGTCCGCAGAGCCCATGTTAGGATGTGTTTCTTTCTGTGCGATGAACCGGGGTCTGTTTACCTTGCGGTATGCTTTCCGGATCTCTTCCTTTGAAGCCTCCCTGTGGACCTCCAAGACCTCTGTAAAGTGACAACCGTTAGTTATCGCTCATATAAAACCGCGCTTTCATGTAGCAACACACCATAGAGGTCGATCTCGACCTGTGCCACTGTAAAACGCGAAAGAAAGTCAGCAAAATCCCAAGTATCGGCTTCGTAACGGCAAGACGCACTGGCTGGAGATCAGAGCGGGGGAATGCAGCTCAAAACACTGGGAAAAAATCGCAACGGACAGCAAGTCCACCGCAGGCGAAAAAGAAAACCGACAACGGTCGAAATGAAGAAGATATTTTATACGGAAGGAATTCAAGGAAGAAGCAAAAGTCTCCCGTGGGATGCGCTGGTCTGGGGTTGCCTTCAGCCGGTCCAACCCAGAAATTTCAGCCCCGTCGGAGCTTTCCTGCAGATCACTCCGACACTCTCCAGAAAAAGGCTTGTTTATGGATAAAAGCATCGCTGCCACCATCTAACTGCACAGATCGCCCTGTTTTCTACCCACAATCCTCTGGATGATCCGCCGCTCTTATCGCGGGCTGTTTGCCCGCCATAATTCGTGGGTTTGTGCCTCCTGCAGAGCCAGCTTCTCTTCTTCTGCTGCGTCCACAGCCAAGAGCAAGTTGCCGCAGACTCCAGCGCGGACGCGTTTCGCCCCGTCACCTACGGGATATCTCCATCTGGGATCATTGAGAACTGCCTTGTTTAATTATCTCTTGGCTAGACGGACGGGAGGCCAGTTTCTTCTGCGGATTGAAGATACAGATCAGGTTCGTTGGATGCACAGGAGTGGGATCGCAATAGAGTGCATTGGCTGACGCACGAATTGCTGTAAATAGAAGCGAACAATCCCTGGAGCTGAACAGCGATTATATGAAGACCTGCAATGGGCGGGGTTACAATGGGACGAAGGTGAATTAAAAATCAAACCCGCTACAGGGCTTGATGAGTTTTGAGGAAAGCTAACAGTAGTTGTGCTTTCGCAGGTCCAACCGTCGGCGGTCCTTATGGCCCTTACAGACAGGTACGGAGATAACTATCGTTTATAATGGGGGCAAATACCAACAAGGTATCTTGATCTAGTCCGAACGAACCTCTATCTACCGCAAACACGCCCACGAGCTGATTTCCAACGACCACGCATACCGATGCTTTTGCACGCCGGAACGCCTTGACACCTTTGCTAGACACCGCAGCAGCGCCGGTCTTCCACCAGGTTACGACCGCAAGTGTGCCGACCTCTCTCATGCCGAATCGGAAGAAAGAGCCGAGAAGGGAGAAGCTTATGTGATTCGATTGAAGGTGGACGACTATCCCATGTTTAATGATCTGGTGTATGGCAAGACGGGGCAGAAGCGCTCAAACAGCAAGCTCGACTTTATTGATCGAGTCTATGATGATCCGATTTTAATCAAATCGGATGGGCATCCCACTTATCACCTGGCGAATGTGGTCGATGATCACCTCATGAAAATCACGCACGTCATTCGAGGCACTGTAAGATATCTTTCACCAATAGCATATTTATTACCGTCAGCTAACAGGAATCACAGGAGTGGATGCCTTCAACGCCCATGCATATGGCTCTATACAACGCCTTCAATTGGACTCCGCCTAGTTTCGGTCATGTCCCCCTTCTTGTAGATAAGAACGGACAGAAGCTCAGCAAACGCAATGCTGATATTGATCTGTCTTTCTTCAAAGACAAGCAAGGGGTATTTGCGGCTAGCCTGATCAACTTCTCAGCGCTCTTAGGGTGGTCTCATTCTCAGAAGTCCGACGTCTTCAGCCTTGAGGAACTCGAGCAGATGGTACGTTTCCCGGAAGCCGAACAAGGCCATTGCAGCATGCACCAGCTAACTTGTAGCATAGTTTAACTTGAAGATCACTCGAGGAAACACAGTGGTCGCGTTTGAAAAACTCTGGTTCCTCCAGAAAGCACATGCCCAGCGATTCGCCGCCACTGGTGGGCCCCAAATCGATGAGATGGTGAATAAAGTGTCGAGCATTGTTGAAAGCACCTCTTCCGAGGACCTGTCAGTCTTTGTTCCATAGACTTTACTGATACTTTTTCAACTGACTGAATAGCAGTACACCACTCCTCCAAGGCCGCACTCTACATGAATACGTAGCCCCCTTGATCAAAGCAGACGCCAAGTCCTACACGAACGCAGAAGAATTCGTCGCACGCAACTCCTCTTTCTTCACGTCAACCCTCAACAGGGCTCCCTACGAGACATCCGCAGAACCCAGTCTCGTCTCCGCTCTCCACACTGCAGCCGCAGCCCTCTGCCTTGTTCCAGAGTCGCACTGGGACGTTGAAAGCCATCGTATCAACATTTCCTCCTACGACGGCTCATCCGCCGTAACATCCATTTCGAACACATCGCCGGCTCCTACAACAGACGATCCGGAAAAGGCCCGTGTCGTAGCCGACAAGGCCTTCAAGAAAGAACTATACCACTACCTTCGCTGGGCGCTGACGGGTGGCGCCCCGGGCCCCGGCATCCCAGAGACAATGGCTATCCTTGGCCGCGCCGAATCCATCAACCGGATCCAGCAGGCTCGTAAGCTTACAGCCTCGAACGCGGCGGAGAAGAGGAGAAGGGTGCCCCGGTCGACGCAGGGCGAGGAGGAACGGGACTTCAAATGGATGGGGTCCTTGGCGCCTCAGTGAGATATACACATGTCCTTCAAGGGCCTTTATAGTTATGTATTATTATGTATTATAGCCATATCACACTTCTCAATATACTTCCTGAGAACTGCATATCTCAGGTTAATATCTAGAGCACTATTAGAACTATACCTCCAATTGATAAACTTGAAAAAGTCTTATTTGATATGAATTGAATAAAGTTTAATCAACAGGCTGAACTTGCGACAGATGCAAAAGTTCGCATAAGAGGAAAGAAGTGACAAGAAGGAGAAAGGGAAAAAAAAGGAAAGGGAATATCATAATATCACAAAATAAAAGCGCCAGCTACCAAGAAAGCAAAACAAGATAAAAAACGGAAACTGGGAATCAATAGGGGGTTCAAGAAAGCAACCGAATCAGTCAAAAACCATAGACACGATGAAAATAACCATCAAAACGCAGAAGTCTGGACGGTTTGGAGGAAGAACAAGATTAGCCAACCAAAAACGACAAGACGAGTTACAGAAATGGAGATCGCCAATAGGAGGAAGATTAAGACAAGTCGCGTCAGCACAGATTTTGTTTCTTTATGTGCACAATCGACTTGACGGAGGGCGACGAGTGTAGAGAGGACTTCTCTGACACCAGCATTAAAATTAACAATGAAAAAAAAAAAAAGGTCATCAACGAGAAGATAGAGGCTCTGAGACTAGTCCGAGGTTCTGCAGGATGAAGCTGGGAATCAACCAGGGCAGAACTTGAAAAATGGAGGACGGTAAAGTCGTGAAATCATGGTCAGTCGTTTATTGTAAACCACGGCTTTTTTTTCCCCCTGGTGCGCCTGAATAATGAAGAGCGAGCTGGAGCAGGAGTGGAAGAGGAAGAAGAAGAAGAAGTAGAAGAAGGAAAGGAAGCAGTCTATCTTAGTAGGGCTCCATATCATCCGTCCACTCGTTATCGCTGCCTTCCACTCGGAGCACTTGGCCATGATGTTGAGGGGTCTGGTCGTCAGGGCTGACACTTCTGATACCCTTGGCCTTCTTTCCTGCTAACGAGAGATTTTGGCAGTCGTCAGGAGCAATTCTTTTGATGTTGCTGTGAGAAGCGCGAAGCTTGGCGTAATAGACATCTCTCGCGTCAGCCTCCGAGTCAGACGCATCATCAAACGTCTCCCAATTCTCCGAGCCAGATGTCACCGTGGGGACCGAGGAGGAGTTGGAGATCTGCCTCACTGCTGGTGGTGGCGGTGGGACATGCTGAATATAAGGATTTGGCTTGGGGTATCCTTGCAGAGAAGACTGGAGGGAGCTGACAGAGCTGATCGATTGCGAGGACTGAGAAAACCCTGTCGAGCGCTGCGAGAAGATGGAACTACTCAAGTAGGAACGCTGGCTACGGTCATCGTAGACATCTTCCGGGCTGACAGGTCGGACCAGTCCATTAGACATGGCACTGGCGCAGCGGGGTGGGTCCATTAAGTGACTATTCCGCTCATCTTTGGCATCCGTCGTCAAGGCTCTCATTCGCGGTGGCGGTGCACGGGGCGGAGGCATTTTGCTGGTCAAGGAGTTTGACGAATAAGTAGGCCCCGCAGGCACTCGACGCTCAGGGTTATTACTACCCTGGGGCATGTTTGCGAGGGGGACGCGAGCAGGGATCTTCGAGGGCGATTTGGCGCCGCCAGCCGGAAGTCCGTTGGGAAGATTGCGTCTGAGAGAGCCGGTAGGTGTCTTGGTGGCTGAGCGTGGGGGAGGAGGGCCTCGCATGACACTGGCCGGCCGAGCAGGCTGGGTCTGCTTGATAGAATTTGCTCTCGAGACAGAGACAAGCCCCGAGGGGGTCTTTGAACGTGGCGGAGGCCTGGCCACGGGTGTCAAATCGTCTAGGTATCTCTCGCCGTGAACGAGGAAAGGCCGCCCGTACTCGTCCTCCCAGTGTTCCAGTTCCTTTCTTAGTTCGACTTCGAGCTTAGGCAGCTCCTTTGCAATGCGCTTTCTCATCTTCTCCTCTCGCAACAGCTTGCCAGGATCGCGCCTCTCCCCCTTGTTACCCCGAGCCATGAGGCGTGACGCATCTTGGCTAGAGGCGTTCAACGCCTCACGGTCAGCCAGTAGACTGCGGTGCCTCTCGATCAGTTCAAGGGTGGAAGCACGTTGCTCCTTGAGGGCCTCGAGGCGCTCGATTTCGGCTTCATGGGCTTCAAGCAATGCGTCACTATAGACGTCGGAAAAGGCGGGTGTGAAGTCAAGCATCTCTTCCTCGGAATAGAACAGAGAGTCCCAAAGTTCTTGCAGTCTGCATCGTGCATCCTCCACAAAGAGGTGAAGGTTTTGTCTCTTCAGTTCGTTGAGACGAGCCAGCTCGTCTTCAAACTCATTGATGATGCGCAGACCGCAGCCACGATTCGACGCGAGGAAACCCTTTCGATCACATTCCTCCACTCCAAAACGATCCCAGAGACTCTCGACCGCGGTTTTGAGATCCTTGAGTTTGCGCTCGCGGCCTCGCTTCTCATCAAGCAATTTGTCGCGCTTGCTCTTGAGGTTTTCCAGGTCAGTTTCGTGAAGTCCCAACTGCTCTGGTGACTCTCGATAATACTTGACAATCGAGGACTCTGTTTGGGCCTGGGGTGTGCCGAGCTCAGCCCAAAGTTTGATAATCTCTTCGCAGGTCGTCTTGACAAAATTGAGGCGCCGGTTGTATTCCTGGTAGACTCTGGTAAATTCGCTATCGAGAGCTGTAACATATGACGGCGAGAGGTCAAAACTGGGCGGTACCGAGGATCCCGGCGCGGTAGGCGGCAGGGCAATTGACACGAAAGTAGCCTCGAGATGGGAAGAGTATGATTCGAGGGCTTCGACCAGTTCTGCAAGATGATTGATTAGACCAGGTATTATTTCCCCCCCTCAAGAGCTCCAGTGAATTGAATTTACTTACTCTTCACTTGCTCGAAACGCTCGCGGTGTAATTTGCTCATCGCATTATGTTTCTCTCTGAGCAGACTGATGCATCTATTTAATGGATAGGTGATCCGTAGCTCATTATGATCCAATTGGTATTGGCCGTTGGCTTTTTCATCATCCAGCGATGCCTCCATTTGCTTGATCGCGGTGATGAGCCGCTCGGCCTCGTCCACCATGTTGTTCTTCTCACTAAGGAAAAAAAATAACGCGTCAATACCATAGATTCCTCATGTTTATCAAGGGTATATCATTGATGGTAATTCTTACTCATCGACTAGTCTTAAATGATTGTTCAAAGTTTCTGATAGAGCGCTGAAGAGCTGTTCCCCTCCTGTTAGAAACAACACACTCACACTCCAGGGTTACAGCACAAACACACCTCTGCTTCTCGGGTGTCCCGCTCATGGTTTGGGACTCCGATCTCATCGTAGATGCCATGCAGCTGGCTGACGATATTGTTGACCTGAGTGGTCAAGTAACTGGTGTCGACCGTCATTGGAAGACAAAGGACAAAGAATACGCAATAGCCCTGGGACTCAGGATGTATCGCAGTGGGGAACCGTTATGTCGGGGCGACAATGCGCCTTGCGACAGGCAGTGACAACAACAGCTCACACACCACCACGGGGGGGGAAAATGGAGCAGCAAGCCAAGGAAAGCAAAAAGCAAGGAAATTTTTCAAAGTAATGAACGTCGAGCACTACCTCTCAAAGCGACTGGCATCTGTAATGGAGACGAGAGAGCCTGCAGCTTTTATGGTTGAGCGTCAACAAGCGCGACGTATGCAAGGGCGTAGGGGAGGGGAGAATTGAAGCTGAAGACGGTGATCGCGAGCCTGGCGTACACAAATCACCGCCCTCGTTAGCTCCCCGGCTTGGCGATTCTGTTGATCATGTGCCGTTGCACCGGGCAACGTGCTGACTCAGCATGTCACCGCCTTGTGTTCTGCCACCTGCCCCGCGACCGCCTCCGCGCCTTCCTGGAGTGGCATCAGGTACAAGACGCTTCATTGCTGCCTACCTGATCAAGGGCTATTCATTATCAAAGAGGTTATCCGGGAAAATGCAGATCGCAGGGCAGTCGTGGGGTAAATATGGCCGCTATTGGAAGCTTGATGAGACAAGAGGAGAGGGTCTAACTCTTTTTCAGAGCTTGACAACGCTATCAGCATCGTGGACCCCGAACGAGACGCCCTCTACCAGTACAATGAAGAGACGCAGAAGGCACTCAACGCGGCGCGGCCCTGGGCCAAAGACCCCCACTACTTCAAGTCGATACGCATCTCAGCGGTCGCTCTGTTGAAGATGGCGATGCACGCGCGCTCGGGCGGGTCGATCGAGGTGATGGGCCTGATGCAAGGGTACATCCTCCCCGAGACTTTTGTGGTGACGGACGCCTTCCGGCTGCCTGTGGAGGGTACGGAGACGCGAGTCAACGCCCAGGACGACGCCAACGAGTACATGGTGGCGTACCTACAGTCGTGCCGGGATGCGGGCCGTATGGACAACGCCGTGGGCTGGTACCACTCGCATCCGGGTTACGGCTGTTGGCTGTCCGGGATCGATGTTGCGACACAGCAGACGCAGCAGCTTGGGGGCCCCTTTGTCGCTGTCGTCATCGACCCCGAGCGCACCATCTCCGCCGGGCGAGTCGATATCGGCGCCTTCCGCACGTATCCGACCGACTACGTCCCGCCGCCCACCAAACAGGAGGGAGAGGAAAACGAGACGGACGGGAATAATCCGAATAATGACGGTGGCGGCGGCGGCGGGCCCCACGCCATTCCGCTCAATAAAGCGGAGGATTTTGGCGCCCATGCCTCCCAGTACTACTCGTTGGAGGTCTCGCACTTCAAGAGCACGCTTGACACGAGCCTCCTGGACCTGCTGTGGAACAAGTACTGGGTCTCGACGCTGAGCCAGAGCCCCCTGCTCGCCACCCGTGACTACGGTAGCAAGCAGATGCTCGACCTGGGCCAGAAGGTCCGCCGCGCCGCCCGCTCCGTCAAGGGGTCTGGGCCCCGTCCCGCGGCCGGCACGACCACCTACGCCCGCGACCAGCAGCTGGATAGAGTCGTGCGCGAGGGAGAGCGGATTGTCTCCGAGGAAGTCAAGGGGCTCGTCGCCGCGGATATCAAGAGAAAGCTCTTCCAGGGAATCGGCGAGGATGATGCAACTGCAGACCCGTGATCTTTTTTTCTTTCCCTTTGCTTTCTTTTTTTATTTTTCATGATTGTTACGATTTAGTAGTTGCCTACCTACACTAGAACAAGAAACCAGAAAAGTCCATTCCCCATACTATAACTAGCTTTATTGGATGAAAGTACAGGATACTTGGTTTTTTATTGTAACAGATTTTGAACAACGCCTCTATCACTCTTCCTACTATCAAGCATAAAAGATATCTTTTTTTTGGTTCCAGGAGGGTTCAACAAGAACACCAAGTCATGACACATTATTAAACCAAGAACAAGGCACAATGATGGAGAGATGTCCTTGAAAAAGAAGAGAAAAAACACACTGGACAGACCAGCATATAATCGTAGCTATATAGACAAGAGGTAGACCACTGTACACAAGAATGACAAATCAGATGTATGTGCGGGTATATAGATGAGGGAAAAAAAATAACAAGATTGAAATAGAAAAAGAAATTTCAAAAGGTATTGTTAAGATGGACTCCGAATATTCGTATAGATCTGAAGTATTCAGGGTCGGCGCAGATCGGCGTAGTATTGGAGAAGGTGAGAATTCGAGGGGTGAAAGAAATTTTGATTGGCGAGAGAGAAAACAACGCCGAGGCGTTGTTGTCTGTAACCAAGACCGGTGGTTACTTGCGTTCGATGATATTGTGGGAACAAGAAGAACCCCTGCTTTCATGGCGAGATATGGCATTCAGAACGGCTGACCGCAGTGACGGCGCAACAAGGAAAAGGTTCAGCCAGCCATGAAGCCTTGCTGGCAGTGAGAAAGGCCGTAGCCCAGAGAGACCAGACGATCAGGGG